TCTTTCTGCAGCTGCCTCTCACCCGGCCACTCGAACGTTGCAAAACGCTGGCTTCACAGCTCACCAGGGGGAAACATGTTTTGCATTCACAGAATCCATTAAAAACTCCCCATTTGGGATGATGAGTCCTCACTCAGAAAACTGGCAGCCGTTGTGCAGGGAGGTGGGAGGTGAAAGGAATAATTTGCACGGGGCCTTTTTGAAAGCAGGGAGCCAATTGCTCTGTGCCAGCCGGCTGCCTGCTCCCTCACGGACGCTCCCGGCCTCCGAGAGACCAATTAGATACAATACAATAATGCAATTATCATCACGGAATTGATGCAAATTCCTCTGATGACAGCCCGAGAGCAGAGATGGAAGGAACGCCTTTCAAAGGCGCGCTTGAGGAGCTCTCCCGGGACGGCTGACGGAGCGCACCGGCTTTCCCCTGGGACCGGGTCTCGTCTTTCTCCTACTTCAGGGACCATGGAGGCACCAAGGAGGCACTTTCGGGCATGGAAAAAGCCATGCAACTCCCAGAATGCCCCAGCTGGGCCACTCTGGAAGCTGCAGGACAGTCTTTTTCCTGCCTAGCCATGCCTGGGATTCCACCCTCACAGACCGGAATCTCCAGACCAACAAGGCTATTATTTTTATTCGCCCAAGAGCCGATCACCTTTCCCTGGGAAAAGGCCGGGAATGGCAGCCATCCGCTCTTATGCAGCATTTAGACCATTTATTATTTCCACCAAGGTGGCCTCCAGTGCCTTTGATGAGCGACTGCTGCAAAGGGCAGTCATTGCAGAGAGACTGTGGATCGGGGCTATGCTCCAACCCATGGAGGCGTCGCTTGCACAGAGCTTGTGGAACGCCTGAACCTGCTCAGGTGTGCTTTGCACGAGAGCCAGTTCCAAGCAACCCTTTCTCCATGGACCTGGAGGCACAGAAGGCCCCAGCAAGTTTCTAATCAAGGCCTGCTTTAAGGGACCTCACAATCCCATAAATAAGGTCGAGAGTTCTTGAGCAGGGTAAGCGCTCTGAATCTCCCAGCGCTGATACTGGGGCGCACAAAACTGCTTGGGCAACCGGATGCACAGCTGTGCATTATAGTTTAAACAACTATACACACACAGTGCCCCTCATCCCAGCACAGAAGGCCGTGTGCCTGCTCAGCCGGCTGTCCAAGTGCTCGATTGATGGACCACTTCAAGATCTTCAGCTCTTCCTCCTGACGGGGATCTGTAAAACAGATCCGGAGTGGAGAGCCCTTAAAATGGAGGGTGTCTTTACAGTAGATGCCCACCTTCCGGCAGCCCTCTAAAAAGGGGACGCGTGGCCACCCCAGGAAATCCCGTGCCTCCTTTGGAATGGCTCGGCGTGACGTGGCATCCCATCATGGGTGACCAGCCTCAGAAGGCCGCTGCATCACCCTGTCCCAGGCCACTTCCTGCAGGGCGCCTTGCCGGGGGCCACAAGCCGCCTGGAGGATCCCTGGCTTGCTCCAAGGGACCCGCGTGGCATGCAGACCCAGAGGACTGATTCCATCATGAAGCACCAGGGGAGGCACAGCACAGAAGCAGCCAACTATCTCCCCGAAGGGGCAGTGACCGCCCCTCTGCCAGCGCCCAGCCACGCAGCCGTCTCTGACTCGCGGCATTTTTTATTTTCTGGGGGCATAAATGCACACACATGTCCTAACGTTTTTTTTTAAAGGAATGAATCATCAGTCTTCTGGAGCTGTCAGAAATATGCTTGCTCTATTATCCTGCCAGTTACAGCTGTCACACATTAACAGAAGAACAAGGTGAGGCACCGTTAGCCTAAATTGTGAGCAATGGACAGCTGTCAGGTGCCCAGCTGTCAACTGGGACGCAGCAGCGTGTATGAAAGAAACCACAAAAGGGGTTGGCTCTAGATCTTCCCTTTAACAAGGCCATCTTCTGCGTTTAAACTATTGCAGGAAAATGTATATCCATTTACTGCCGAGCCATGAGATCTGCATATAGTTTCCTGTCATGAACGGGCCAAATCTCCCAGACACTTCAAAAAAGCAGTCTTAGAAATTACAGAATGCAGACAACGGAATGCGGATAATCAAGGCAAGTTGCGACAACCCGGATTCAGGCTGGACATCAGGAAGAGCTTCCTCACTGCCAGAGCAATAGGACAGTGGGACTGGCTGCCTGGAGAGGTGGGGGCTCCCCCACACTGGAGGCATTCAAGGAGAAGCTGGGCAGCCCTCTGAGTGGGGTGGCTTGGTGTCCTGCAGCAGCAGGGGGGTGGACCCGAGGGCCTGCACAGCCCCCTTCTAAGTCTCCATGATTCTGTGCCTTTTTGTCTTGAGGGGTCCAGTCCCTTCAGCTGCACCTCCGCATCTTGGGAGCATGAGCTCCCTGGTGAGTCAGCCAATGTACGAGGGAGGGTTCAGGCTGGCCAGGAGCGGCGCCTGTTCGTGCATTTACTGCAGGGGAGAAAGCGCCTGAGGGCAGATCCGTGTGCTTCAGAAGCTGCAGCTTTCTCATTTCAGAAAGCAGAGAGAGGGCAAGGCACCTGCTGGGTCAGATCTCTAACAGATGCAAATACAGACACCTGCTCGGGTTGAGTTGAAGTGCTTGTGCCAAGCGGCAGATCCCATCCTGGGGAAGCCAGCAGCTGAAGGTCAGCCTGAAGATCAGCGCCCGTCGGATTTCCAAAAATGGCATCAGGGATGTTAGGCGAAAAGCAGAACTCGTTAAAGGCACGCTCATCCCCACTCTTAAGAGCTGCATTAGAGGCTGCTCAAATGAGTTGGCCCGCGTTCAGAGGCAAGTATTTCAGCCCGAGGCACCTGGATCTTCGGCACCCTACCCGGGCCAGGCTGCAGAGTCCCTCCCTTCTGAGGATCCGCCAGGCCGAGGGGCTCTCCAAGGTCAAACGAGGAATCCACGCGGGGGCTTCAAGCGGAGCCCCCTCACCCTCCCCGCCCGGTGTCTCAAGCCACAAAATGCGGCTCCACACCCTGGGGGCGTTTTCGCACGCGGCATCTGTTTCCGCATGAAAACGGTAGGTCGGAGTCAGGAGCAGAATCTCAATTCCCTTCAGGCAGAGTAAAGATTAATTACATATGGGCCTTTAAAAATAAATGTGACGATTTAGATGCAGAGGAGAGGGAGAGGGAGAGAAATAAAGCTGTGACTCCCATTAAGAACAAGATGACTTCTAAATACACTGTGTTAACAGCATTCAGAAGCAGCTGAACGGGGCACCCGGCCAGCTGCCTCGGGCACGTCAGCAGAGGACGCCAGGCAGCTGCACCGAGGTCAGATGGAGGCACTAATTAATTAGATGCAGCAGCTTTTGTCCGGGCAGCCAGGGTGGCCAGCGCGCCCGGTGCCCCACTAGAAGCCTGCTCCTCCGCATCCGAGCCCAAGTCCCGCTGCTTGCCTTGAGGGACACGGGCCCGCCTCACGCCAGCCACACGTGCCCGGGGCAGCGCCGGGTGTGCTCCTGTCGAGGCCAAGCATACTCCACACACCCCACCGGCAGAGTGGCCAGGAGGGCCGCTGCGCCTCGCCTCGCCACTGCCAGCGCTTGCGCGAGGCCTGAGGAGCGCAGGACTGGCTGCGCCGCTTCCACGGCTGCTGCTCCGGCACCGGCCGCCCAGCTTTGCCCCGCAGCACAGCCGGTCCCAGACCTGGCCCTGTGTTCCTCCCTGGGGCCAAAGCACCCGCTGCCCCACTGGGGAATCCGTGGACAGTGTGAGCACAGGGGGCTGCGAGAGCGGCGCTGCCCCCTGCGCTTGCCCAGAGCCAACGCGGTGCCACGTGCTGCATGCCACGAGCCCCGGGGTGGGGTGCCCGGCTCGTTCTTCCATTTCCCAGCACCGACACGGGCATGGCTCAGCTCCACTGACCCGACCACGCCGGACAGGGGGCAAGAATGCTAAAGCTCTCGCTCCTTTACTGCTTGAGGAGCCCTGGAAGGTGTTCGTTCATTCTCAAACTCTTAGTATTGCGATCCCCGAACTCAGCATTTCAAACTTTTTCGTTGTTATGACAGCACTATTTGTATCATCTGGGTATCTGCAGTCATCGACGTACAGGAATTGCTTTCCGGTGTCAAACGGTGCTCACACGTTTTGCCTGCTCCGGCAGCCGGCGATTCCTCCTCCTCCAGGCCGAGACACGGTGCTTGTTGAAGGAGGCACACCCGCATTCCCCTGCAGCCCCATCGCGAAATAGGGGGCCGCAGCACGGGGACCAGGGATGCTTCCAAGGTAAGATGCATGGCCCGTGGAACGCTCACACATGCAGAGCAGAGCGCATGGTTCATTTCCGGACATCTTCCTCCCTATGCTTCCCATTACAGACAGAGCGATTTTTAGGGTGTGCAAACACACTGCCTTCAGCAAAAATGTTCTTGGCATCTTTGCATTAGAGGCAGCCTTTGAAAAGCTCGACCTGCTTCAAGAGCCAGCTTCCGCTCAAGTTCGCTGCACCGATCCTGTGTGGTCCCCCAGCACCGAGCTGCAAATGAGGTTAAGACCACACACAAGAGGCGGCAGCAGACAAGGGTTCGCAAGGGAAACCTCCATGACAAGCCCGAGTGTGACAGAACGAGGAGGAGAGAGAATGAATTATATGTATTATTATTCGTATTACTGCACTGCATTTATCTCATCGAATTCCTTTCACGAACCTTGACAGGCAGGGCAGCATCTCAGAAGTCCTCTCTCCCCAGCAGGACGGAGCACCTCTTGAAGGTGGTGCCAGGGGAACCAAGACAGTCGTCCGACTGTGCCCAGAGCTACATACATGAGCCAAGGGATAGCTCAGTTAGTTGCGCCTTACCCAGTTAACCAGGATTTCTTTAACCAGGTCACAAACCTGGGCAGACAGCAAAGAGCAAGAGACGGCGAAGCGAAGCGGAAGAGAGGGAGAGCGAATCCGGCCTCTCCACTGGCTGATGCCTTCGGACGAGGCAGCGCACCACACGCCCTGGAGATTTCAGCCCTTGTTTCTGATGCAACCAAGACAAGGAAATCCAGCAGGATAAAGTTCTGTTTATTCTTGTTTCAGTACATTATGGTCGGAAAAAATAGGGCAGAATGGGGCACCAAGAGCCAAATCATCTCTTCCAGGGGACGCTGCGGCCTCCGTTCTCCTCGAGGCCGACCGGCAGAGGGGTGGCGCAGCCGAGTGCCTTCCTCACCAAAGCCCTTCCCCGCTTCCCCACACCTCCCCCTATCAGAATTATTTTGCCAGGGGGCCATAATTTGAATGTGCCCAGCGACACATTGGGCGGGGGGGAATGCAGGCTGGCAGAGGCATCACCGAACAGCCTTCCTGTTCGCAGAGAACAGCCAGACTGAACTCAGGGTGGGAAATCAAGGCAGCGGCACCAGCTGCTCCGGCCTCCCAGCAAGGCACGGCCACGGCTCCCAGCTTCCATTGGGCTCAGCACGCAGATCGCTTCGGGGGACACGAAGAAAGATGTGGCCACCTCGCTCTCCTGGGACTTCCAGATAGTTTCGCCCGCACATCACTAGCTCCCCGCGGCTGGGTGTGCGCAGGAAGCACCGGCCGATCGGCGGAGACGCCCAGCTTCCGTTTCTGGGCGCACGGCAGGTTGCTCAGCCCGGTGCGCAAAGCTGGGAATCAAAGGGGTTTTGCAGAAGCCTTGAGTCAAGAGAGGATGCGACTTCCACCACAGCGCACTGGCCCCCCAAGACCTCAGGAAGCCCGGAGTCCGCCGTGGCCGCCCAAGCCACGTGGCCTTGTGATGTTCGCTGAGCGGCAGCCCCACATTTCAGAAGCCCCGCTGCCCTCCTCGGAAACGACCCCTGCTGGCCGAAGGACAGTGACTGCGCAAACCCCAGAAGAGCGCCTGGAGCATTGCGCTACGGGATCTCGCTCGGTTTCAGCTGGTAGTGCTCCTCAGGCAGGTTCCTCAGGCGCTCGGCCGCCTGCGGAGAAAGCACAGCATGAAGGGTGAGATCCTCGGAGCAGAGGCAGGAGGAGAGAAAGCGCCCCTGGGCCCCGCGACCCCTGCGGCTCCTCACACCCCCGCAGAAGGGCCACAGGGCGGCTCCCAGCCACAAACACCCTTTCCTTCTCTTCCCAGCCCGTTCTACTAACCTGTGCCCCCCTCGCACTAACGCAGGGGAACGGAGCCCTTGCTTGTTGAACCCCAGGCTGGGGCACGTGGGCACCGCTCACAACCGTGGGACAGGCACCGAGGACACAAGGGAGGCGCGAGCCGGGCTCCCGGAGCCGCTGCCGACGCGCCACAGAGCAGGGCACCACACCGCCTTGCCCAGCCCGCCCACTCCGGAGCGCCCTTCCTCGCTTCCCCATTCGCGCCAGCCGCCTGTGGCAGCAACAAGGGCGCTCTGCCCCCTCCCCAGCAGGTGCTGCGGGACTCCAGCTCCCCCCAGCGCCAGTCGGGATGCCCGCCGGCCAGGAACGGAGGGAGCTGCAGCCCAGCAGCCGCACGAGGGCCACTGGCTGCTCACCTGGCTGAGGCCCTCCTGGAAGAGCCCCGAGGAGCAGGCGGCGCTGGCCGCCCTCCCGGCCCGCAAGGGGAATGGGTCGGCGAGCATCCTGCGGAACGTCCAGCCCCGCCCGGGGCCTTCTCCCGTCTCCTGCCATCCCCGCGCCCGCTCCCACTCGCCTGCTCCGGGGTCAGGTCCCGCTGGGCCTGAGCCAGCATTTCGTAGCCGACCATGAATTTCCGGACCGTGGCCGAGCGCAGCAGGGGCGGGTAGTAGTGGGCGTGCAGCTGCCAGTGGCTGCAGTCGGCGTCCAGATACGCCCCCGTCGGAGCCCCTGTGGAGGCGGGAGGGGAGGGGAGGGGAGGGGGTGGGCGGGAGGGGGGGAGAGCGTCCTTCAGCAAATGCTCTAAGCAAGCACGAGGCATGCAGGTGCTTGACTGGATCGGGGCCAAAGGGAAGACACGGAACTTTCTCCGAGAGACAGACCGAGAAGGAATCCAGAGCTGCCACGACCCAAGGAGGGGGCCGAAGGAAGCTGGACCTGTGGCCCAGCGCAGGATGAGCCCCGGCAGGCAGTGCCGGGTGCGGGGAAGCCCGCTTCCCGAGAGTCCTCCGCAGCCGCGTGGTGCGTCCTCTGGTGAGGCCCCCCAGCTGGGAGAGCCTGCGAGGCCAGGGAGGGCTGGGGGGGGGGCGTTCCCCAAAGGGAGGCACAGACGACCCAAGCCGGGCAGGAGGGAGGGACTTTGAAAATGGGCTTGGCACCAGAGACCAAAAGGCAGAGAACGGCCAAGGAGCACAGAGGGACCGAGCCCCAGCAGTCTTCGGGGGCCTGGCGGGCCACACAGGCTTCTGTAACGCCCCTGAAGGTCTGTCCTCGTGAACCCCCAGAAAGTGGCACGGGAAGGGGGCAGATGAACGGCACAGACGCCCCTCCATCGCACCCTGCCCGACGCCGCCACCGCCAGACACGGGTTCGGGTGACCTTCTGCCCTTCGGTGGGCTCTGCAGAGGCATCCCACCGGCCAGCGGTGGAGGAAGGCTTGGCCCAATCCGGCTTCTCGGGGGAATTCGGGTTCAAAGAGGCGGTTCAGACACCTTCCCGCGAGGGGGGGGCGCGCAGGCCGTCTGCCCGAGTCGGGACGCAGAGCTCCCACCGCCCCTTCACTGGCGAGGCCGGCGGAGGCCCGTGAGCGCTGCAGGCTGCCGCGCGGCTCGCCCTGCGTTCCTGGGACCACCTCCCTCCTCAAAGGCGGCCCACCCCAGCGAGACGCACGCCCAGCGCACACGAGCCACCCGGAGGGGCAGCACGCGGCGCATCCCCCCGAGGACGGGGCGAGCGGCACCACGTCCTGGGGCGCCCACAACAGTGCGGTGTGGGGGAGAGGGGGAGCGGCTCACCGTGCCACCCCATCGAGTAGGGGAAGGGGACCTGGAAGAGGTTGTCGTACTTCGTGAGGAGCCTCTTCAGGATGGAAGCCAGGCCTGCAAGGAGCGAGGCCCAGAGAAGTCAGCCGGCTCGCCCATCGCCTCGCCCCCCGCCCCGCAGACCCTTCCCGCCCAGCCCCCCGCCAGCACCGCGGCCACAGAAGCGCCAGCCCTGCACGCCGGCCAGGAGGGGCCCCCTTCCAAGCGCTCCGCCGCGCGCGCTACGCACTCCCTGGCGCGAGGCAGGACCTGCCCCGGTGCGCTGCCGGGCAAGGGGCGTGCTTGGGCCCCAACACCTCTGCAGGCACAGACAGAGAAGAGGGGCGCCGGGCCTCAGCTGGCCAGGCCTGGGAGAAGCGGGGGGCCTGACGCTCTTGTCCGCGGGGAGCGGAGCGGCTCTCGCCTCGCGCCACCGCCCTCCTGGGTCCAAAGCGCGTGGCCCAGCATCGATGCTGCCGCTGCCCCTCACGGCCCCAGCGAGCCGCCAGCGTGTCTCCAGCCCCCCGAGAAGTGGCCCGGAGCTGCCCTGGCTCTCCTCCCCAAAGGGCAGTGCTGAGCTGGTGGCAAGGGCACACGGCCCCACAGACCACGAATCACCTGCCCCGTGGCTCCCCCCTGCTCTTGGCGGCCTTCGGCAGGCGAAGCCGGCACGCAGCCCCGCGCAACCTCCTGCAGCACTTCTGTGGATGCCCGGTCTCCCCCCATGATGCGGGGCGTCCCCTCGGCCAGTCGGCCTTGCCCCCGGGACGCCGGGGCGCTGCCACGCCTTCTCCCCCCGCTTGCTCCCACGGCCCACTGCTCCAGGCCGCTCGCTGTGTGTCCCTGTCCCAGCAGGCCCGAGGGAGCAGGCCGGGCACTGACTGTCTCGCTCGCCGTCCCGAAGGTCCTGGAGGCGGCAGACGTGCCGCCGAGGCAGCAGGAGGGTCTGGAAGGGCCACACCGCCCAGTGCGGGACGACCACCAGCCAGTCGGCGTTCTCCACCACAATCCGCTCCTGCAAGCGATCCAGAGGGGGGGAATCAGCGCCACGTCCACGGCACCCCCCCTCCCCGCCGGCCGGGGGCCACCACCTTCCTCTCTGCCTCCAGCTGGGCGTACTCCAGCAGCATGGGGACGCCCCGCTCGCTCAGGTGCTTCCGCTGAGTCCGGTCCTCCAGAGACGCCTCGCTGGGCAGGAAGTTGCTGGCCCAGATCTAGGGAGAAGAGACGCGCTGGGCTCAGCAGCAGGGCCAGGCCGAGCAGCCTCGGCGGCTATTTGCGGGCGGACCCTGCCCCCGTGTGGCCGTTTGGTTAGCGCAGGGCGTGCGGGCCGAGTCAGCTGGCGGGGGCCCAGGCTTCCTGCCCCCCCAGCGCAGGAGGGGCGACCGGGGGGGGGGGGGGCAGAAGCCGTGCCTGCAGGACCCTCGCCTCGGCTGGCCCACCACCACGGAGAGGGCAGGGAGGGGGGGGTGCGTCAGTCCCCATTCTCCCCCTCCTCTGTGCCCCCAGGAAAGCTGGGAGGGGCCCACTGGCTTCCCCTCGGCCAGCCTCACCTGGAGCCCATGCGCACGGGGCTGGAGCCTCCCTCTCCACACGAGGGCAGGGCTCGGGCTCGGCCTCGCCACAAAGACACGGGGTGGGGGGGGCGGTCAGAGCCCCTCCCCTTGGAAGGGGCCCTCCTTCCCAGCTCTCCCCCATTCAGGCTCCCGCAGCAGCCTCGTCAGACACTCCAGATGGCCGCTAAGTTTCGGCCAGGGCCGGCCAGCCCTCTTTTCACCCGAGATGGAGGGTCCGAACAGAAGCCGCCCGCACACGCTTTCCACTCGGAAGCCGGATCCGCCAGGGCCCTCCCCTGGCAGCCACTTGGCAACGGGGACGGTCGCTCCGTGGTGGGGCTGCCTCTGCCTCCGCCGGTGCTGACCACAGGCCTTCGGGGAGGCTGAAAACCGGTTGCTTGGAAACGTCAGACAGCAGATGGGAGAGACATTTGGTGAATTCACTGGGATTGGATTGTTTGATTTTAATTTTTGGTAATCGCCCAGGGAGCCTTAGCTATGGGGTGGGATAAAAATGAAATCAATCAATCAATCAATCAAGGTACACAGTCTCCGTGCCACACCAATCAATCCAGGGTACTGAACAACAATCATTCTGAGCTACAGTGACTGACACCTCTGCTGTATGGCTCCACATACAGGGTGAGGCCCTGTCGCGGATCTGGGAGCAAGGATCTCTCTCCCTGTAGGTACACACTTCCTTACAAGGGCAACCCAAGCCCTGCCAGAGTCTCATAGGATGCCCCTACGGACTGAAAAATCGGTTCGAGTGATATGCCCTGCTGCAAGGCCTGTTCTCTTCATCTCCAGAAAATCATTTTGGACTTTCTTGCCAAAGCCCAGAAAACAACAGAACCCAGCCTTGTGAATACTCCGGGAACGCAAGAGGTGGACTAAAAGTGTGATCTTGCACATGGGGAAAGTCTGAGAGAAAAACTCCCTCTAAAAACAAGGGCCCGAATATTGGCCTAAAGATTTGTCTGGGGAGAAAGGGTGAGGGGAGAAATCACGCCGAGGCCCCAGGCGGAATCAGCAGAGCCGGCCTCCAGTTGCCGGGTATGTTCCCTCCTTCAGCCGAGTCCTGGTGCAGAACCTCTCCAGAGAGGATGGTAAGAAAGGCAGGCATCGTTCGAAAGACGCAGGCAGACAGCCAAGCCCCACCTATTCATGGGCACCTGAGGAAAGCAGAAGCCACGCCCTTTGGGCTGCTTTGCCCAGTGGGCGGAGGTGTCGTGTCGGAGGGCAGGGATCCAGCCAGCCAACCAGAGCATTGTTTAGTAAGCTGCTCGGAGCCGAAGCGGCATTTCAAGAGAGCGCTTAAGGGCTGGATGTGCACTCCGAGTCAAAGGCAGACGGGATGCCCACGCAGTTCCAAAGCCCCAGGCACTTCGGATGACACTGCCGAAGCGGCCCAGAAGAAAGAGGCTTGCGGGGGCCCCTTCAACATGCCCACGAGCCACACCAGCGGCAGCTACTGCTCATCATCGCGCAACAGCACATTTGGTCCACTGAGCATCCCCGAAGGAGCCAACTCGCCTGCAGCGTGCCACCCATTCTCAGGAAGCTGCACCTTGGCCCACACCTCACCCCCACGGAGCGAATCCGACTGGAGAAGCAGCTCCTCAGAGGTGGGCAAGGCCAAACCCAAGCGCCCTCAGTTGCGATGGTCCCGCCTAAACTTTTCAATAAAGAATCTTTCGCCAGAGTATGAAAACCGCAAACATGAAAGCTTTTTTCTGCTTTCTATCCACATCCTGGACGCTGAGCATCGCTTGGCTATGAAAAGCCCCGTGGCCTGGCCCTTCAGGCTCCAATGGGCCGAGTCATTCCTGAGACAAGGAGGTATTTCCAGGCCTGGCCTGATCAAGTCAGCATTCAAGCCGAGTCCCTTCCTGTACCCATGTAAGCTCTCTCCTAGGCAAGGGGGCAGAGGGTAGATCTGGATCACCTAACAGATCTTGGGCTGATCTGCTGCAGACTGGCAAGGATTTCTTGTGCCCAGCTGATTAATAGAAGTAGCAACAACACGAAGCCCCCACACTCTCCCCAAAGTTATTCCTGAAATTAGGAAAGCTCTGGGTAACCCAGAGCGCACGTGTGTATGGAGTAACTGAAAACGCCATTCAGTCCTGGCCCTCGAGCTAATTCCGAAGTTCATAATCCTCGAATGCCTTTTTGCAGCAGGTTCCAATTGCCAGATCCCAAGGCACGAGCCAAAAAGGAAAGCGCGTCCCACAAGTAAGAACTGTGCCCAGCTCAGCCCGGAGCAGGCAGGCCGGGGGCACACGGGGAAGCCTCCTTACCTGGCAGTGCGGGTGCGGGTTGGAGCAGCCCATCATGGCTCCCTTATTCTCAAAGATCTGCGGGCATAAAGGGAGCGAGAACATGGCGGTCACGGGAGAGCGCATCCACTCCTCAGGGCAAGTAAACGGACGGAGGCATTTGCAGAGACGAAGGTATAGGAGGCAAGGAAGGGAGTCGCGAGCCAATACGGCACGACTCCTGCTCTTTGCGCAGCACGGTGCTTTGGGCAGGGGAATGGCTGCGCTTCCCGTCCCTTCTCTTCGCAAGCCCCCCCCCCCCCCGCGGTGGGACGAACATGCCTCGGCCTTCGTCGTCACGCCTTCCACGCACGGTAGTGGGCAGGAAGGGTGGCGGACTGGCCAGAGCACGCTCCCGCAGCCACCAACCTGCACCCAGGAGTAGGAGGCGCCCAGCTCCACAGAGATCTCCGACCATCTGTCAATCACAGCGCGAAGCTCAGCCAGGGACATGAGGGGCAGAGTCCAGTCGGACCAGGGGTGGAAGCACATCACCTTGCTGGAAGGAAGGAAGGAAGGAAGGAAGGAAGGAAGGAAGGAAGGAAGGAAGGAACGCATCAGGAGTCAGGCCTGAATGAGAGAGGCAGCCTTCCTGCTGAACTGCATCCCAAACAGATGTCTCGCATGGATCACCTCTCACCAGGAAACACAGCTAATTCTGAATAAATACCCACCCTCCCCCCGCCCTGTAGCTGCAGTGCAAACTAAGTGAGCAAGGGCACACGCCTCCGATGGGTGTGCCAGGCTGGGAGGCACACGGTGACCTTAAGAGCCTTTGAAGCAGGAGAAGGAAGAAAAAGACGAAAGCATCTAGAACAGGTTTCCATCCTGTCTCAACAGCATCGCTCGGTCCTTCAGGGGTGAAAAGCACGATCCCACGTCTTAGGGAACGGGTGCAGAGCCGCCTCGCTATTAAGCGTCTTACTCCTTCCAGTATCTCGCACAGGCAGCGTTTAAGAGCCAAGGTCCTGGAGCTACGGTGTCAGAAGGAGCACAGGGGAGGCCTGGGACTCAATCAATGGGATTCCAAATCCCCACAAACCCAGAGGGTAAGTCATGCCGAACCCCATGGAATATCTGTCGGCTGACACGCCTGTGTCCGTGACCAATGCTTCCCTCAAGCCGTCCTCTGCACAGCAGAAGATGGGGAGAAGAGGAGGAGGACCTCCGACTTGGCCAGTGGGGTGTCAGCGGAAATAAGCATTTGGACCATCGGCCACCCACAAAAGAGAAGCTGCACCCAGAGAGAAGGGGCAAGGAAGGCCGCGTGGTGGGAAGCGTCTTGGGGAACCGCCACGCCATGCACCAGGCAGACAGACTGTGACCAAGCCCACGGAAGGCGCCCGGTGTTGGGGTCGGTGTTATTTCTACACTGCCCAATGGCCGAAGCTCTCTGGGCGGGTCGCAACAGTACATTTTATCAGCAGCGGCAAAGGAATTAAACACAGCCAAAAGCAGACACTGAAGAACAACCCCACAGAGCCCCTGGAATGGGGAACCCCCTCAAGCCCCCAGATAACTGTGCATGTCTTTAAAAGCCTTGGCATGAAGGGCCACCCGAACCGGATGCTGAACGGGGGACAGGCAGGCCGCAGTGGGGAGGCCATTCCACAGACGGGGGCCGCCACAAAGCCAGCCCTGCCCCTTGCTGCCCCTCCCCAGGCTGCCTTCAGGGTTGGCACGCGTTATGCACAGCCCCCTAAAGTAGGGCTTTCCAAAACGTTCTGTTTAATCTCATAGTCAGGCAAGGATAGGGTGGGTAAAGAAAGGGGCGTGTGTAATTTTAAATCCTGTTTCAGCTTAAGCCATTTTTCATTCTTTAGAACACATCATAGAAATCATTTTGTTCTTTAACTTAAAAGCAACATGACTACAGTGGAGTACAACTTAATCATGACACACAGTAAACCTTCACTTTCAATCTAAAATCACCTGCCAATCAACCAAGGGTATTAATTTCAGTTTTTCATTGCATGCCCAGTCTAACTGAAAGTATTGCTTCTTGTTACGTCCAGGCCTCTCTGACTAAAGTCTCATGAGCAAAGATACGGACTCGGCACGGCAGGAAGAGCAAAGAGCAAAGAGTTTGGCACGGCAGGAAGACCAAGGAATGGGTGGATAAAAATCGATGCTTTCAACAAAGCCCCAAAATTGATGCTTTAAAAAATCTCCCCAAAATACAAACGTGTCTTTTTAAAAGTTTTAACTGCATGTTTCAGCCCAGTACGACCAAATCTTGCTTTGACCTATCAGTCATTGTTTGCTTAAGTTTTTTTTTGCTAGGGCAAGGATGGGTGAAGACTGAGTGAAAGGGGCAACACCGGAAAGAAAGAGGAGACAAAATTATCCAGCGTGTATCTTGTATTCTCATTCTAACGCTACCATATTACGCCCATTTCCCTGGGAATAAGCCTCATTGAACTCAATGGAGGCATGCATAGAATTGCACTGTTAACCTCAAACGCTCATAGTTGCTGGTTATAAGAAAGGTAATATGCAGGACTATTTGATAACATTCTCTCTATAAGTAAAAAAGAAAGCGTTCAGGGAAACTGAGATGTTTTTAAGACTGAAACAATGCAATGATCACCTGTTTTATTCTAAATTAACATGGCTCAGTGCTCAGACTTGCACCATCATTTAAGGAATATATGAAAACAATGCACAATTTGATTTAAATCAACAAACCAAAGCAATCCATCCGGGGCCAGAGGGGTGCAACACTCCAGTCACACTGGTGGATGTGGCATGTCTGTTTTCCCCAGAGCAGCTGAGCATGCAGAACATACTCAGAGCACATGGCTGGGCCACTGAATCCCACGAAACTCAAGCTTCGTGAAGATCAGGAGCGGGGCTTGGGAAGTGGCCGTAATGGCCACACGGGCTGCGGTCTGCCTCAGAGGCAAGCCCACGGAGGGGGAAAGCAAGCAACTCGATAGATCCCAACACAAAGGAGGTTCCTGAAACAGAAAAGAGGTCCCCCATTTCCTAAGCACAGAGCAAAGCAAAAGACGACGGGGCTGGGGAGGCCTTCAAGCAAAAGCCCCGAGCGGGAGAGGGTGTCCCGGGACAACCTGAACCGGACCACTGGCTTTGCAGACGTGGTGGCGAGGGTGAGGGGTTGCAAGGCCACAGTTACCATACACCTCGAGCAGCCGCTGTGCGAAACAAGGGGTTGTCACCAGCATCTGGGGAAGGAGAGGAAACCCACTGAGAGGCAGGCAGGGTGCAAACGAGGAAGGACAGGAGTCGGGAGGTGCCCCGGCACTCCCTGAACCTGTGCAGCAGCGCCGGCGCCCCCCACCACCCCTCCACCATGACAATCGTTCTCCAGCAGAGCCAGGGGCTTTTGGTGGGTCCTGGTAGCGGCCCTCACCGATTGCTCCCCAGGGAGGCTTGCTGCCCCATCCGAAGAGATTTCCCTGCATTCCAGATATTTGGAGGGACAGGCAGGGCACTGCAACCCGCAAACAAGCCCCCGATGGCCCAGCGTATTGCAGATCGGAGCCATCTTGGGCTCCTGCCGCAGCAAACGCTTACCCGGCTCCGGGGCATCCGGCTGCAGTGCGGGGAAGTCATTGTCAAAGACAAAGGTGCCCTCGTAGTGGGGATTCACCTGCACGGGACAGAGCAAGACACACATGGCGCTCCAGGCCGCTCGGCTCCGGGACCCCCTCGCCCCGGCGGAAAGCACCAGAGCCCATCTTCCTTCTGGCAGAAAGAATCTGAAGGAGAAGCGGCCAGCCGCCCAGCATTTTAGCCTTCTTTGCTGAGGACTGCACACATGCTTGCGAAGCTGGCAGACGAATCTGATGGGGTGCCACAGGCATCGCGGACTGAGCCAGGAGCAGCCAGGAGCTGCAGGTGGCCTGCAGGTGGTACACACCTGTTGCAAGGGCAGGAAGAGGAAGCAAAAGCTCCCAAGGAAGGAGGCAGGGAACACCACAGCATAGCTGCTAATCCCATCACAAGCAAAATATAATGAAAACCCAAATTTGCTTCCGTTTTGATTCATGTATGCTTTCCACTGATATCCCTCTTGAGGACGGCCTCTTATACTGGAGACATGAGGACCCTTATGTTGCCAAAAAAGTGAATATGCTTGCCCAGTATGTAAATACATATTTCACTGCCAAACAAGACCAATTTTAAGAGCTGTAGCTGAGCTTTGATCAAACCTTGAAAGTCCTCGATGCAAAATCGAACTGTTCGACTAGTGGTGGAAAATTGATGTTTTAAAAATAGAGTCCTGCATTTTATGGAGTCATTCTTCGTGGTTTGTTTTCGCTCAGCCTCCCCCATCCTCCTGCCTTCCAGACAAGTTTGGGCTGCAACGTCCGGAATTCCCAGTCGATGGCCCTGCTGGATGGGAAGCCTGGGAGCTGCAGTCCAAATGCCGGAAGGTCACCAGGTTGGGGAAGGCTGTTTTAGCTCCATTATGCTCAGCGCTTTTTTTGTCATAGAATGCACTGGAACGGAGTTCCGGCACCTTTTTTCAACAGGTTTTCCAAGTTTTAAAAGTAACTGTTGAAAATTTGCTGTTTGGTGCACATGGATTTGAATCGCCCTGTCGAGCATAGCAGGTCGGCAGCAAAATCATTAAAACGGTGCACGCGGGCTGCTTGTGCGTCGAGTCCGATGCGTGCATGCTTCGTCTGCGCCGGTTGTGATGACGCTGCTCGGCTTGTGATGGGTCGTGTGGTCGCACGCTAAGTGCTTACTGCGGGCGGCAACCGTTATGTTTCATTACACAACTGACATGTGTGGGTGTGTGTACAGTGCTTGACTACGTGCGAAAAGTAAATAATTTCATGAGTTCCGGCACCGTTTTTCTTACAAAAAAAGCACTGATTATACCTGTTATGGTCTCTCTGCTTTGGCCACGAAGCTGTATAGAAAAGAATACTGCTTCTACTGATCATAATAACGAAAGTGTCACTGGGGCCAGTGGACTGAGAGACGCACGCCTGAAAGGCCGCTTGCCCCGCAGCGAAGCTGTACCTCGCCATTCGCTCTCCTCGCTCCTGGGCACAAGGGGTTGGACAGGTCGCAGCGCGGAACACCCTCCTGCGGGGGCTTCTCCACCTGCCCCTTCCACGGGCGCCGCATGCGATGGGCAGACACCAGGACCCAGTCGTCTCGCAAGGGGTTGTAGCGAAGGTGCTGGTGATCTGAGTCAGTGACAAGGGGGCACAGTCAGAGGAAGAGGGCAGCAGGTCAAGGTGATAAAATGCCCTGGTGATACTGGTTCTTCCTCCCTACAAGCGCCTGGCTCCAAGCTCAGGCGCTGCTGGTTCAGATCCTATCGGCCCAGACCGGGAGTCGGGATTTCTTTGCCCAAGCAGGCACTGCTCTGCCCGTGCTTCTATTGAACTTTGAGGCCCCTTCTCCCAGTTTGGGGACCTCCCTTTATTTTATTTATTTATTCAAAACCTTCATATGCTGTCTCCACATGCCTTGGCTTCTCAGGATGGTTTACAATGTAGAATCAAAACAATAGAACAGTAACAAATCCAGTAAAATTATATCAAAACAAAAGCAAAAAAGTGACTGTTAATGCTAAAATTAATTTTTAAAATAGCCATCCAATGAAAAGGTTTTAACCTGGCACCGAAAAGAATATAGACTCGGCGCCAGGCGCACCTCTCCAGGGAGCGTATTCCATCATCTGGGCGCCACCGCAGAGAAGGCCCTGCTCCGGGTAGTTGCTCTTTTTCTGTCCTTTAAAGAGGGCTCCCGGAGCAGAGCCTCTCCCGCAGACCTTAAGGGGCGTGAGGGCATGTAAGGGAAGAGGCGCTCCTTGAGGTCTCCTGGTCCCAAGCCATCAGAGCGCCTCATGGGCCCCCCTTGGTTTTCCCACCCGAAGGCGTTTGGGGGCCCCCGCGCTGCTTGCTCCCAATCCCAGGTCACCCCTGAGCAGGCCGAAAGCGCCGGTCGCAGCGCAGAGCCGGGGGGCCCCGCCAGGGACACCGCGAGCAGCGCCCTGGAGCAGCGGCCACCCTCTGCCTCCCCTCTTGCTCCAGCTGGTGATCCAGAAGAAAACCCCCACCAACAGACGCGCATGCGCACAACTCGTTGCAGGGCGGATCGCTCTGCACGGGAGGCCAAGGAACCGGACCCGCCAAGCCCCCTCCCCCCCGAACTCTGACGGGGGCACGAGACCGGAGCGGCCTTGCGGGAATCACGTGGATGCCCGCCTGGCAACAGGCCCCGCCCCGCTGCCTCATAGGCCCCGCCCTCGCTCCGCATAACAACCCTCCCCCCAGTAGGTCTGCCCTGACTGAGCCGAGGCCTCCGGACGCGCCCGCCAAGTTACCCCGCGGATCGAACTGCGCCGCCGCGCCTGCCGCCGCCTCCGGCTCCATCGCGCGGCTTCCGGTCTTCCGCAAGCCCCACGTGACGCGGGGGCGGCTCCCCTCCGCGAACGCCCCTATCGGAGCCGCGGCTGGCAGCTCGGAGTGCCGTGATTGGCGCGGCGCTG